CGTCGACATCGAAAAGGAGGATCCGGTAGAGCCAACCTTCCGTATTTCAGTCAAGGATTCAGGAATAGGCATTCCCGAGGACAAGCATGATGCGCTCTTTGGTGACTTTGTCACGATCGACACCAGCTATACCAAGAAACAGGGTGGCACCGGACTTGGTCTTGCAATCTGCAAGCAGATCGCGCATCTCATGGGTGGAAAAGTTCGGGTTGAAAGTCGGCAGGATGCCGGCAGCACCTTTGAATTCCTTGTTCCGATCACACTGGCCGACGACCAGACCGTTATTCCCGAAGAGGAATACGACGAAAGTCCTTCGGAGCTGCCTGAGGACCTGACGGTCCTGCTTGCCGAAGACAACGCGACCAACCAGATCGTGGTCAGCCATGCGCTGGAAAGCGTCGGCTGCGCTATTGATATCGCAAACAATGGAAAGGAAGCGGTGCGGGCGGCATCCAAACGCGACTATGATTGCATCTTGATGGACATCTCGATGCCGGAAATGGACGGCATTGAAGCCACTCGAAGAATCCGGAGCGGACAGCGGAACACTTCGACGCCGATTGTAGCGCTCACCGCCTATTCGCTTCGCGGCGACAGGGAACGGTTTCTGGCGTCCGGAATGACGGATTTTCTGGCAAAACCGGTGGAAAAAAATGACCTTCTTGCCTGCATTTCAAGAAATGTCGCCAAGCATGACTTGGAGGTTCCGGCAGACGTGGCCTCCGGTACAACGGAATCTCTTGCTGCCGCGCGTGAGATCCTCGACACCATGCCGGCTGAGTTGAAGCAAAAGCTTCTGCAGCAGTTCGTTGACGATACGCTCAAGCGGCGGCATTCGGCACTGGAAGCTGTTGAAGCGCAGGATCCTGAAAAGCTGGAGCGAGCCACGCATGCGCTCAAAAGCGTGGCGGGCACATTTGGTGCCTTGGAACTGGCTACGGTGGCAAGCACGATGAACACGCTTGTGCGGGACGGCAAAACGTTCGACGCCATGGGCAAAATGGACGAGCTTTCGCAAGTTTGCGAGCATACACTAACGGAAGTGAAAGCATTGGCTGTAGAAATAGGTGTCAGGGTATCATTCGATACCTGAGGAAAGATCTGATGCGTGGAAGGAGCGTAAGTTGAAGGTTCTGCTTGTTGAAGACGCTCTGCCCCTTGCAACGGTTTATGGTCATCAGCTCTCGCGCGCGGGTCTTGAATCGGTACATGTCGAAACTGGGGCTGACGCCCTGGCACGCTTGCGCAAGGGTGGAATCAGCGTTGTCCTGCTGGATCTGCAATTGCCCGACATGAGTGGAATGGATGTTCTGGCGTCCATTCGCGAGGAGCAACTTCCCGTAACAGTGGTCGTTGTCACCAGTTCCGGCTCGATCAAGACGGCCGTCGATGCCATGCAGGCGGGTGCTTACGACTTTATCGTGAAACCTGTAGCCGAGGAGCGGCTAGTCACGACGACGCGCAATGCGCTCGAACGCGAAACCCTCACCGAAGTCGTCGAGGAAGTTCGCAAACCGGCTTCAGGCAAGGTTCAGCATGGTTTCATCGGCTCTTCATTGCCGATGACCGCGGTCTACAAGATGATTGAAAGCGTTGCCCGCTCGAACGCCGCTGTCTTCATCACTGGCGAAAGTGGTACAGGCAAGGAAGTGTGCGCCGAGGCAATTCACAGGTCTAGTCAGCGTACAAAGAAACCATTTGTTCCGCTGAACTGCGCGGCGATCCCGAAGGACCTGATCGAGTCTGAAATTTTCGGACACATCAAGGGAGCCTTCACCGGTGCGACCTCGGATCGAGATGGTGCCGCCGCACGGGCAGACGGAGGGACACTTTTCCTCGACGAGATTTGCGAACTTGAACTTGGTCTTCAGGCGAAACTGCTGCGTTTCCTGCAAAGCGGAACCATACAGAAGGTCGGCAGCGACACCCTCAAGAAGGTTGACGTTCGCATTGTCTGCGCCACAAACAGGAATCCGTTGGAGGAAGTCGAGGCCGGCCGGTTTCGCGAAGATCTTTTTTACCGGCTGCATGTCCTTCCGATCGGGTTGCCGCCGTTGCGGTCCCGGGGCACCGATGTTCTTGAACTTGCAAAGCATTTTTTGATGCAATTTGCCGGTGAAGAAGGCAAGTCTTTTGAGGGGTTCTCCGTGGAAGCAGAGGAAATCCTGTTGTCTCACAGCTGGCCGGGTAATGTTCGCGAGATGCAGAATACCATCAGGAACCTGGTGGTATTGAACGAAGGTCCCTACGTGGAAGCCGATATGCTGGCGACCCTCCATGGCCGTGCACCCGTTCCGAAGATACAAGCCGCGCCACATCCCCTCCAGGCCCCGTTGAGCGTGAATGCAGACGCCGGCCGCACCGTCGAAAGCAATGGTTCCTGGCCCGCGATCACCTTGACGCTTGGCCAACCTTTCGAAATGCTGGAACGGCAGATCATCGAGGCAACAATTGACGCTTGCGGTGGCAGCCTGCCCAAAACAGCCCGCGCGCTTCAGGTCAGCCCATCGACACTCTATCGAAAAAAGGAAATCTGGGCAGAGCAGGACGAACCATCAGGCGAAGACATTCAGATTGCCGCTGAAGGTGCGTGAGACGTCGTCACGCACCACTTGAAACCCAGCATTCAGGTCGCTTCAAAAAGCGCTTCGGCGATCCCCACCGCGGCAACATGTGAAGTGACCGGCAATTCTCCAGCCAGGATCGCGCTGCGTAGTTCAAAACGCCGTCTTGTCACAAGGGTTGCGTCTTCCAGGTCGTCAGAGCAGGCGTCGGCGATCTTGATGACATGTCTGGCAACGAACACATGCGCCTTTGCAATTGTCTGATTGCCGTGAAGAACGAGCGAAGGACCAGACAACCAGCGCCCGCCTCCATAACCTGTTTCTTCCAGCAACTCTCGTCTCGCTGAAAATTCGGGGTCTTCGCCCGGGTCCACCTGGCCGCCCGGCAGCGTCAGACACACCTGTCCAACGCCGTGTTTGTATTGTTGAAGCAGCAGAACCTCGTCGTCTTCAGTAACCGCATAAACTGTTGCGAATGACGGAAGGTCGATCCTGAAATAGTCGTCGACGATCCGGTTGTCGGGCAGCTGCACGCACTGGCGAACAACGCGTAGCTGGTTGCCGGAGTCGTAGACCGTGTCGCTTTTGAGAACCGACCAGTTCGGGTCATCGATGATGATTGGCATGGCTTTCATTTCAAGCTCCATGAACCAGGCGGAGGGGGGCTGGCTCCACCATCAGGTGTTCCTGCATCCGCCGCATTTCGTAGCTCAGCAACTGGCTGATGTCGCTGGCGCCGCCGACCGTGGAAAGGATGTTGTCCTTGAGAAACGCATCGCACATCGGCTTCGCAAAGCCGCGGGCTGCCGTTTCGCCGAGATAGGCAACCAGTCGCGCCGACTTGTGGCGCCTCAGCAGGTGCTCCTGAACTTTTGATGTTGAGTAGGTGTTCGGCATGATGAGCAAGCTGCCTTCTGAATCCTTGCAGACGGAGTGATTTGGAAATCGGGTGCGGATTGCTGCGACGAATTTGTCGAGTTCCCTATGCTCCCGCTCCCAGGCCACGTAGTTCCGCTTTGCAGTCCGGCCGATTCGCGTCCCGGCGAGACAGATGCGCAACGTTGCGGGTCCGCAATCGATCAGTGGAGCCTGTTTGTCGGGATACGCACTTTGCAGAACCAGCTTGGCGACAGTTTCATACAGGTCGTCGCAAAAGTCGTGATCGTGGCGGATCAGCAAATCATTCTGACGCCACAACTCTGTTCCGGCGGAAGAGAAAATCCCGGCGAGCGTCCTGCGCAGGTGTGAAGGGATACGAGCTGCGGTTTCAGCATAGTTCAGGCTGGACAGAACGTAGCAAGAGCGTTGTGCGGCGAACTCCGCAAGATAGCCAGAAAAGGCGCTGTCCATTTCGCTTTGATGCGCCTCGAAGAGGGCATTGACATCAAAAAGAAAAACATCGCTCCGAGGTGAATCTTTTTGAATTCCGAATGGACCTGCGACCTGGCCGATCAATTTGAATCTGCTGTTGGAAAACATTGCATTGCCTCTTCGATGACTAGACTTGAGGAGGTCTTTGCAAGACAGTGGCCAAATTCGAGGAGTAAATTAAAACTATATTTTTCAATAGGTTGAGTTCAAATATGGAAAGGGGAGATGTAAAAATCCAAAAACGGTTTTGCGAAATGGAAAACTGCAATTTCAATTTCGAGAACGCCCGAAACGGCCTTCGGAAGGCTTTATACATAGGCCTTCAAACAGCCGTTGAAAATTGAAGCCCGGACTGTCCTGGATGTCCGGCGCGCGTTCCTTGGAAACTCGGTTGGCAGTGACATTGCCGTATTGCAATCAAACGATCGAAAACGGGAATTTTTTGTTTCCAAAATTGAAAGCCCGACAATCGTTTCAGATTTGGGAAATAGTGTAAGCATATGAAAAATATATATAAACCGTAATAGGAACGTGTTTGGCACGAAGATTGTTCTTCTCAAACCCAGATAGCTTTAACTGGGAGTACTGAGATATGAACATGTTTGTCGGTCGCCTCGAAACGGCTCAAAAGCTGGACAGCGTTTCACTGCGGCTTGTTGAGCAAAAAAAGCAATAAGCGTCGTTGGCCTTGGGTATGTCGGTGCAGTGTCTCTTGCCTGTCTGAGTGACCTTGGACACCGCGTTGTCGGGACGGATATCGACAATCAGAAAGTCGACTCCATCGCGTGGGGACAGAGCCCCATTCATGAAGATCGTCTGGGTGAACTTCTGTCCAAAGGTGTTGCTGAGGATCTTCTCCATGCAACGTCCAATCTGGAACGAGCGGTTCTGGAAACCGATGTCACGTTTGTTTCGGTCGGGACCCCGACCAGCGAGGATGGTGGTTGTGACACCAGGGCGATCGAGGCCGTTGCGCGTGGCATCGGCGAAGCCTTGGCCAAAAAGGACGGGTTTCACATTGTGGTCTTGCGCTGTTCGGTTCCTCCAGGGACAACGCTCGACATCATGAAACCCGTCCTTGAGCAGTATTCCAACAAGGTTGCCGGCAAGGATTTCGGAATTTGCTTCAATCCGGAGTTCCTCAGGGAAGGCACCGCAATTGCCGACTTCCACGCACCTCCGAAAACTGTCATCGGTGTTTCGGACCAGAAAACCGCGGACGTTCTGGCTGAGATCTATGCTCCTGTGGACGAAAGCCCGATCGTGACGACCGTTGAGGTCGCCGAGTTGGTGAAGTATGTCGACAATGTCTGGCATGCCACCAAGGTCTGCTTCGCCAACGAAGTCGGTCGTCTTTGCAAACCGATGGGCATCGACAGTCACGCGGTCATGGACATTTTTGTTCAGGATACGAAGCTCAATCTCTCTCCCTATTACCTGAAGCCGGGCTTCGCTTTCGGAGGCTCCTGCCTGCCCAAGGAAGTGCGTGCTGTCACGCATCTGGCGGAAAAGCTCGGCGTGTCGACGCCGCTGATGGATTCCCTGACGCCATCCAACGAGAAACAGATTGATCAGGCCATCGGGATGATCCGCGAGACCGGCGCGAAAAAGGTTGCCGTCCTGGGTGTCGCGTTCAAACCTGGAACCGATGACCTGCGCGAGAGCCCGGCTCTTGAACTCATCTCCGAGCTTCAGCGGGACGGTATCGAAGTGGTCGCCTATGATCCGGCCATCCAACCAGGTCCGCACATCGCACAGCAGTTTGAATACATGCGCTATGCGGCACCTCATCTTCAAGAAGTGGTCGACGGTCTTGCCGGGTTCATGAAATCAACGCCGAAATCCGCGATCCGCGACGCAGATGCGATCATCGTTACTCAAAAACTGCCGGAGCTTCGGAGTGTGCTCAGGTCGAAGAAGGAAGAGGCAACGGTCGTGGACCTAGTCCGCATTTCCGCAGAAGTCCCGAACTCTTCCCACTATATCGGAATAGGCTGGTAGGCCGCACACTCCCGTCCGCTCCCTCTCTCTCTGCCCCCATCGACGCCCTGAGAGGGGGCGGACACCCCTTCAATTCGGATCACAGGATGTTTCTTGCAGCAGGTTTGCCGACGTTTGGAGACTTGATAGATGGACCGCTTTCTTCCCAGTCGGTAATCCGATCAAGACTTGGCCGGGAAGCTGTTTGTTTTCGAACCGCATGAAACTGCAATTGCTGTCCATCATCTCGCTCAGGTCACATCGGAAACGTGCCTGAACGGGTCTTTTTCTTGCTTGGTGATCTGAACTTGACTTTGAATTCGCTATACTGCAGAAGACAAATAAGACAAATCAATAATTAATTTTTACAAATGAGGGTTTCATGTTGGTTCACTCAGATGCGCCATCCGCATGGATGGATTCCGGTCCTGGAGCGAGGCGCAGGATTCTTTGTGAAAACAAGGAAATCATGATGGTCGAGTTTCGCTTCGAAAAGGGTGGGGAAGGGCTGCCGCACAACCACCCGCATGTTCAAACCACGTATGTTGCCTCGGGTCGCTTTCGCTTCACGGTCGAAGGCGAGACAAATCTGCTCGGACCGGGCGATGCGATGGTGATTCCCTCAAACGCGGTCCATTCCTGTGTTTGCGAGGAGGCCGGGAATCTTCTTGATGCGTTTACACCGCGGCGGGATGATTTTCTCGAAGCGCATGGTTGGCAACCCAGTTGACAGCTTTCCACTGCGGGTAATTTGAACCGAAGACAATTGCGGTCTTCATGGAAGGTTCGTCACTTCCCGGCCCCTTTGCGACAAGAAATCCCACAAGCTTTCTTCCGCAAGGGGGGCTTTTTTGGTTTCCCCAAATTCTTGTTGCGATCCGCGCCTGTCCGCGCAGCGGTCAGCCTTCGAAAATCCGCTTTCTGGCGTTTTCAACATGGGCACGCATCGCTGCCCTTGCTGCCTCGCTGTCGCGCGCCCTGATCGCCTCGAAGATGTCGTAGTGCTCTCCCTGGACAAGACGCAGCCTGTCCTCCGGCTTGGTAAGAGAGAGGTTTCTGGTCAGGTTCATCCCTGTCAGAATATTGGACTTCATGGAAGATCTGGCTGCGACGAAATACTTGTTGTCGGACGCATTGCAAACGGCGACGTGAAAATCTTCGTCGGCGACGACGCCAAGTTCATTCTCACTGATGCAGCGGTCCAGTTCCTCAAGCGTCTCCTGCAGTTGCTTCAAATTGGCGTCCGTGCGCCGTTCAGCGGCGAGAAAGGCAGCTTCTCCCTCGACGGCTGCCCTGAATTCGAATGTGCGCTGAATATCTGCGATGGACCCAACCGGGGCAAAATCGAGCACAGCTCCCTCCGGACGCCGCTTTACATATGACCCTGACCCCTGGCGGGAAACAACTACGTCATCTTCACGCAATTGCTTGAGGGCCTGGCGTAAAATTGGCCTGGACACCCCCAGTTCCTCGGAAAGGGTTTGCTCAGTCGGCAATTTTGCTCCGATGGGAATGTCCCCATCCATTATTTTGGCAAGAATGCTCTCGTAAACCTTGTCGGAAAGTGTCCGGTCCCGGACTTGTCGCTCGGTTGTCGAGGGCTGATCTATCTGCCTTTTTCCTTCCGCCACGTCTTAAACCTGTCCATAGTCGACGGATCGGTCGGGGGGTAGAGCCCGAATGTCGACGCGCCTAGTTGCACCATTTCCATTACGAAGTCTTCAAAGACAGTCATCTCTGCCGCCTCTTCGGCAACCTCGTTTGCCATATGTTGCGGTATGCAAACAACTCCCTCGTTGTCTCCCACGATAATGTCTCCGGGAAAAACTGAAACCCCTCCGCAAGCAATCGGGTCGTTTATTGCGATCGCATGGTGTTTGGTAAGGTTTGTCGGTGCGCTGGGGCGGGCATGGTAGCTTGGCATCGACAGGCCGGCTATTTCCGGCGTGTCGCGAAAGCCGCCGTCGGTCACGACCCCTCTGCAGCCCCTGGACTGCAATCGTGCCGCAAGAATGCACCCGGCTGAGGCAGCTGAAGCGTCTCCCCTTGCATCGATGACAAAGACAGCGCCGGACGGACACTCCTCGACACCCTTCCTCTGAGCATTGTTGCGGTCGGCAAACGAGTCGAGAATGTCCAGATCCTCACGGGCCGGTATGTAGCGCAGCGTATAGGCCGGGCCGACCATGTTGGAGCCGGGGCGCAAGCGGTTCAGACCCTGAAGAAAAATGTTTTTCAAACCGCGTTTGAACAAGACCGTTGTCAATGTTGCAGTGCTTACCTGCATCAGTTTCATTTCCGTTACATTGATATGTTCGTTCATGGAAAATGCTCCGTTGCCGGTTTGATACAGATGTGTGATTTGCGCCGGAAACTAGCCAGCGCAGCACAATTTGTCAAATATTTGTAAATCGCAGCTTTGGACACAATCAGAGAAGCGGGGTTGGATAGGCAAATATTGAGCAAAATAATGAAAAATAACACAAAAGTTGCATCCGAAGTTCAAAGACTGTCTAAAACTATCGCAAATTGGCTCCGGATTCTCTGGTCAATCTATCTGTGAATTTATTCGATGGGAGATGGACCCGTCGTTTTTTCCTTGGGTATCCTTGTTTTGTAATTATTTGTAAAAATTAGTCTTGATTTGAGCGGCAAAGGTGCGTTATGCGGTTGAGGCGCCTCCGGATCGCCGAGCTGTCGACGGCGTCCCGGAGCCGGGCGGAATGCGGAGCATTTGGTCTTAAGGCAACGCGAAGCGCCAGATTTCTAGCCGGTAGTCAAACAGCAACATTCAGGAGATGTCCGAAATGAACCTCAGCGGAAAAGCTGCAATCGTATCTGGTGGTGGCCGGGATATCGGTCGTGCCTGCGTAATGGCGTTGGCAAAGGCCGGTGCCAGCGTTGCCGTAAATTATTTCAGCAGTGGCGCGGGTGCCGACAGCGCTGTCGACGAGATCCGTGCTGCGGGAGGAAGCGCCTTTGCCTTGCAGGGCGACATGACGAAGAAGGCGGATGTTGACGCTTTGGTGGCGAGGGCCGTCGATGAATTCGGCGGGGTGGATATCGTCATGCCGATAACGGGTGGTTTGGTTGCCCGCAAATCGATTGCCGAGATCACGCCCGAGCATTGGCAGTCGGTATTCGACCTTAATGCAACGTCGGCGCTTCTGCTTGTTCAGGCGGCCTTGCCGCATCTGAGGCCGGGTGCGGCGATCGTGAACATGGCTTCGCAGGCCGGTCGGGATGGCGGCGGCCCCGGAGCAATGGCCTATGCGATGTCGAAGGGCGCCGTCATGACGATGACAAGAGGCATGGCAAAGGAGCTTGCGCCGCGAATTCGGGTCAATGCCCTGTGTCCGGGAATGATCGATACGGATTTTCACAACGTCTTCACCAAGCCGGAAGTGCGCCAGCACGTTGCAGGTGTCACGCCGCTCAAGCGTGAGGGGACGTCCGAAGAGGTGGCAAACTTGGCGGTGTTTCTCGCATCTGACCAGGCTGCCTATATCACCGGTGCCTGCGTCGACATCAATGGCGGTCTGTTCTTCTCCTGATGCGGACGGCGAGGCCTTTCATGGCCTCGCCCGCTTGTCGCCAGTTGTTTGTAAATTCGGACATATTTGTAAAATTAGCTTTGGAAAATCTTATCATGAGTTGGTGAGGCGGGGCGAATTTTCTCGCAAAATCCGTAGCTTAGCTTAAAAAATTGTAATATAGATTTTTAACTTGTAATAATTTGTAAAATACATATCGTGCTAACAGGTCAAAAGGGAGGATCCAATGACTTTGATGAATTCACTTAAAACGGGTGCGCTGCGCGGTACAACCGTCGCCGCGTCTCTGCTCCTGGCAACAGTCGTCGCCGAAGCACGCGACCTTCGCGGATGGAACATTCACGTTGAGGATTATCCTGTCTCGCACGGCATGGAATCCTTCGTGAAGGAAGTCAGTGAAAAGACCGACGGCGCGATTTCCGGAAAGGTTTTCCATAGCGGCGTTCTTGGTTCCCAGCCGGATGCAATCGAGCAGACAAGGCTTGGCGTCATCGATTTCGGCGTATTCAGCCTCGGGCCGATGGGGCAGGTTGTTCCGGAGGCGAATGTTGTCTCGCTTCCCTTCATCTTCAAAGACGTCGACCAGATGTACAAGGTGATGGACGGGGAGCCGGGCAAGGCTCTCAGCAAAGGCCTGGAAGCGAAGGGCCTTGTCGCTCTTGGATATTACGATGCCGGTGCGCGTTCGTTTTACACCTCGGTCAAGGCGATCAACGAACCAGCTGATGTCGAGGGCATGAAGATACGGGTGATGAACAATGACCTGTTCGTCGGCATGGTGGATTCGCTCGGTGGCAACGCAACGCCGATGGCGTTTGCCGAAGTCTACCAGGCGATCAAGACCGGTGTTGTCGATGGAGCGGAAAACAACCCGCCATCCTATGAATCAACCAACCACTTCGAAGTCGCGGGATATTACTCGCTCACGCAGCACCTGATCATTCCGGAGTGCCTTTGCATGAGCAAGAAGACCTTCGATTCCCTGACTCCCGAGCAGCAGGAGATTGTCAGGGTGGCCGGGCGCAACAGCACCGAATTGCAGCGCAAGCTCTGGCAGGAGCGCGAGTCCGCCAGCATGGCCAAGGTGTCCGAGGGTGGCGTGACGGTGAACGAGATTGCAGACAAGGCTCCGTTCCAGGCTGCCATGTCGCCGGTCTACGATCAGTTCCTGGCGCAAAGCCCTGATCTGACTGATCTGGTCGAGATGTTCAAGAACGCCCAGTAAGCAATGAAGGCGGACTGCGCCGCAAGCGCAGTCCGCACTGGAGAAGACTGATGTCGCGCTCTGGCAGCACCTCAGATCGGCTCGAACACTGGTTGTTCCTGCTGAAAAAAGTCTGTGTCCTCGTCGGCTCAATCGCGCTTGTTATCCTTGTCGCGACTTTCGGTTGGCTGGTCTTTGGAAGATATGTCCTCAATCAGACGCCGACCTGGGTTGAGCAACTTGCGTTGCTTTTGATCTGTTACATCACGTTCCTTGGTGCGGCCGTCGGCATTCACGAAGAAACGCACCTCGGTGTCACGGTGTTGCGGGATGCGTTGCCGCCGAAGGTGAAACAGGTGCTGTTGCTGTTGACTGACCTCTGCCTTGCCGTTTTTGGTGGTGTGATGCTGGTCGCAAGCCTTGAGTTGTTCCAGTTCGGTTGGTCGACACTTCTCCCGATGCTCAATATTCCCGAAAGCATCCGGACAGCCGCAGCCATTGCCTGCGGTGCACTGATGGTGATTTTTGCAGGCGCAAGGTTCCTGCTTCGCAGTCGCTTTGCGCTTCGCGGCGAGATCTACGAAATCAAGAAGGAAAACTGAAATGGGTCTCGCGATTCTGCTGGGAGTCTTCGGGGTGAGTGTCATACTCGGGGTTCCAGTCGCATTTGCGATGGGGATCTCGGCCGCTGCCGCGTTCTGGTATGAAGGGTTCCCGTTGCTGATGACGTTTCAGCGCGCGATCTCGGGCATCTCGACGTTTTCCCTGCTCGCGATACCGTTCTTTGTCTTTGCCGGAGAGCTGATGCTGCACGGTGGCATCGCTGTAAGGCTTGTCCGGTTTGCCTCCGCACTGGTTGGCCATGTCCGCGGTGGCCTCGCGTCGGTCAATATCTTTTCCAGCATGCTGTTCGGGGGGATATCCGGCTCAGCGATTGCCGACATTTCGGCGCTCGGGTCATTGCTGATCCCGGTGATGAAGGAAAAGGGCTACCGCCCTGACTATGCGGTCAACGTGACCGTAACCTCGTCAATAGCCGGCATTGTGATCCCGCCGAGCCACAACATGATCATCTTCGTTGTCGCTGCCGGCGGTGGAATTTCAATCTCGAAACTGTTTCTGGCCGGCGTCATCCCGGGCATGGTGATGTGTCTCTGCCTTGCGGTTGCCGCTTATGTGGTCGCCCTGAAGCACAATTACGGGTCAGAACCTTTTCCAGGGTGGCAGGTTGTCCTGCAGACTGCAGTCAGCGCCATACCAGGTCTCATAACTGCGGTCATCATTGTCGGTGGTGTGCTCTCCGGCGTCTTCACGGTTACGGAATCCGGTGCGTTCGGGGCAATTTACGCGCTTGTCCTGACCGCGGTTGCCTATCGGACACTTGGCTGGAACGAGTTTGTGATCTCGGTGACGTCGGCGCTGCGCACGACCGCCATGGTGATGATCCTCATCGGATTTGCAAGTTCGTTCGCCTATCTGCTGGCCCTATACCAGGTCCCGTCAAAGCTGAGCGAGTTTCTGCTTGGCATTTCCGAGCACAAGATCGTCATTCTGCTCATGATCAATATCATGCTTCTCATGCTCGGCATGATCATGGACATGGCCGCCCTGATATTGATCTGCACGCCTATTTTCCTGCCGATCGCGCGCGACCTCGGCATGGACCCGGTCCAATTCGGCATCATGCTCCTGGTCAATCTCGGCCTTGGGCTTTGCACACCTCCGGTAGGCACTTGTCTTTTTGTCGGATGCGCGGTCGGCAAGATAAAGATCGAGGAAGCCCTGAAGTCGATCTGGCCGTTTTACCTGGCGCTTTTCGTAGCACTCATGCTGGTGACCTACGTTCCCGCAATCTCCATGTTCCTGCCTTCGTTGTTCGAGTAGTCGGTTTTGAAGCGCTCTCATTTGGAAGACGTCGGCAGGCCGATGTCATTGCGCACGCCGTTCACGGAGACGGAAGAAGTGGGAGTTAACGGAAGCGAGGGGCCACCCTGAGTATCAGGAACAACCTGCCGGTGCCCCCCGCGCGCGTGCCCGGATGTGGCCTGAGCTCGCCGGGGAAACGAATGAAGACACATCCGGCTTCCATCCTGGCGGCTGCAATTCTGTCTTTCGGCGCAACGCCCGCAACTGGTGAACCTCTCAACGAGATCAACGATCGGACAACCCTGTCGTGGGTTTGTGCGCAGACCTTTGCAAGTCTCGCTTCGTTCGCGGCATGTTCTTGCGCGAAACTGCAGGAGCACCTGAGGTGGAAAAGTTCATTGAGGGAGAAAAAGGGCTTGCTTCCCAAGGCTTCGGGCACTAAACGGGATTTGCCGGAGAGGTGGCCGAGTGGTCGAAGGCGCTCCCCTGCTAAGGGAGTAGACGGGCAACCGTCTCGAGGGTTCGAATCCCTTCCTCTCCGCCATATTTCTTATTACGTATTTGTATTTTGGGGCAAATTCTCAAGGTTGCCCTTCAGATCATCATTCAGGCCATCAAGCGACTAGGGTGTTCTCGGCCTTGCCGTTCGTTCGAGATATTTTGCCTCAAGCTATTGTGGAGTGCTACCCAACGTACTCCCGGAGAGGGTTAGAGTTTTCCGGCTTCTTCCACGGTGACGGGCTGCGGTCGCCACCGGGATCATGCAGTGCGATCGGGACGTTGTCTCCGATCGCAGAATGAGGTCGATCCTCATTGTAGTGTCTACGCCATTTCTCCATCTTTTCAGGTTCGTCCGCAAGGCTCAGGAACCAATGGGCGTTCAAACACTCTGCTTTGAACCTTCCGTTGAAAACCTCAATGAACGCATTGTCGGTGTGTTTGCCAGGCGGGGAGAACTCCGGCGGAACGCCGCGCTTGTAAGCTCACAGATCCAGAGCGCATGAGATGAGTTCCCAGCCCTGATCAACCCGGATCAAGCCAGATCACCTCGTACGCACCGTGAATGGATACCGCCAGCCTGATCGCATCTCGTTGAACAGCGTTTTTGCCGGGTACAGGCATCAGAGCTTTCGTTTGGCAATGTCCTGGAGAATTTCCTTGTCGAAAGACAAGTCAGTAACGATCCTCGTCAGCCGGGCGCTTTCCTGCTCAAGCTCTCGCAGCCGCTTCAACTCAGACGGCTTCAGATCTGCATATTTCCTGCGTCGGTTGAAATAGGTCACCTGGCTGATCCTGGCAGATCTCAGCAACAGGCAAATCTTTGCCCCGCGAAGTCCTTGGACGTCAGGCGGCACCCGGCAGGAGAAGTCATGACTTGGTCGTCCTGGAACGATGAATCGGCTTAGCCGGATTTCCCGCCACTATTGTGTTTGCAGCGACGTCCTTGGTCACCACGCTACCCGCCCCGACAATGGCACGGTCGCCAATGGTGACGCCCGGCAGGATCACGGCAGCGCCACCGATCCAGACCTGATTGCCAATTGTTACAGGAAGGGCGATTTCCAGGCCGGCGGTACGCTTGTCTGGGTCCTGATGATGTTCGGCGCAATAGATCTGGACATTCGGCCCAAGCTGACACTGATCGCCGATCGTAACGGGGGCGCTGTCCAAAATAGTGCAACCCGCGTTCAGGAAAGTGTCGTCACCCAGCGCTATGTTGAAACCGTAGGGGCAATAAAAGGGTGCTTCGATAATGGCCGTCGGAGCGTTTAGCAACTCCCGCAAGGACGGACCCATACCATCCCGAGCTCCCGGGTGCATGAGGTTATGCTCGTGAACCGCGGATTGCGCGACTTTTCTCAGAGCGTCCAGCTCAGGATCCAGGCATGAGTACCATTCGCCTGCAGCCATTTTCTCGCGTTCGGACTTTACCATGAAGCCTCGGGGTACATTGTTCACTTCCGCCAACAGGAAGCTCGGTGTGACTTAAGATGAAGGATCGTATTCAAGTTGCAAATAGAAAGCAAAATGCGTGCTCATGAATCACCCGGAGGAGGGGGCGCACTACCTGAAAGCAGATTGGCCAGAAAGTCTTTTGGAACCAACGTCCGGTCGTCCCACTTCTGTGACTGTCCGCGCAGTACTGGAAAAGGTGCGAAGTCAAACAGCTCTCTGAATTTTCACCCGATGAGTTCCCCGTCAGCGCCTATGTGTCCAGGTGGCATGATTGCCTGGGGAAGAGATTTTGGCTCATCTTCACGTCGGCAAGAGTGAAGCATGAGACAGGAGAACGAGCGTCACCGGGAGGCAGCAGATCGCGACATGGTGTAAAAGTCCGGAAACACGTGTTGTCCGGGTTTGATGAGATAGACGAGGTTGGTTGGTTCAGAATTTCGCAATTCCGGCGAGCATCAAGCGCTGCATATCCTTGTTCGAGCGGATATCGATGCAGATTGCCGTTTTACTCCCATCCTGAAGGGCTCGACAGTCCCTTGCGCCAAACACTCTGTCGTACCTGAGTGTCCAACGAAGCAGCTCGATCTGCAAACCGTCGCGGCGGAGAACACGGTGTAGCCGTTGCCATATCGGGGGAGCCAGTCGAATGATTGCGTCGGCTCGTTCAACTCGATCGCTATACGTTCGGCCGTTGCCACCCTCTATGATCCACTTGTCTTGGGCTGTCAGTTGGCGCACGCGCCTGTCAATGTCTTCTGGCGCCCGCAAGTGACCATTCCCATCCCAAACTTCATCGTCAACCGCATGAACGGGCAGATCGTACTGGAGACCAAGTTGCCGGGCGAGCCAAGTCTTGCCTGACCCGGGACCGCCGACGATCATGATCCTGGAACAGGCCATCCGTTTTAATGCCCCACGACATTCCTGCCATCAACGATCTGCGGCGGCCGGGACATCTTGTAGAGGTGGGACATATGCGCTTGTACAACCTTCCAGGGGGCCAGGATGTTGAGTGAAACTCCGAACTCATTCGCGGTCTTTATAACCATCCGGCTAAGTGCCCTGTTGTGCGTATGCGCGAACCGCGGAAAGAGATGATGCGCACAGTGGGCATTTGCTCCGCCTGTCAACGCAATCGCCAATCTCGAAGTTGGCGCCCAGTCGACCGAAGTACGTATTTGATGGTGTGCCCAATCCAGCGGAAGCTTCCCGTCTCCGTCAGGATCAAAAAACTCGGCTTTGTCGCTGATGTGACTGCCGACATTGATCGCGACAAACAACAAGGATGCTGAAGAGACGAACACCAAGTAGTAGCCCGCCAGCAAAAAATTCCCGTGTTCCGACATGAAAAACGGCATTATCAGGAAAAGGCAAATGTGGATCATCTTGGATGCCGCGAATTCGGCAAGTGGCCAGACGCCCGAAAATTTGTTCGGCCAATTCCGTCTTGCCTTGCGAAGATGTTCAATATCTTCGGCAAAGGCCAGATGGGGCAGCACAAGTGCATACAGGAAAACGGCATACCAGCATTGAAATCTGTGCCATGGCCGCCAAGGCTTGGATGGCGACAGTCTTAGCAGGCTGGATCCGTCCGCATCAATGTCGGTTCCAGCAATATTGGGATACATATGATGCAGCCTCAGATGCCGTTCGGCCCAGAGTTTTCCTGAAACCCCTATGAGTGAAAATCCGGCGAAAACACAAATCCCGTTCACCCATCTGGAGGCTGCAAATGAGCCATGCGCTGCATCATGACAAACCGTCGCGACAAGAGTGTAGATGCCCGCGCCCAAGACAGCGGCCGAAATCATAAGGATCCAAGGGTTCAGATCAGCATAAAGCAAGCTGTAGACAGCAGCACAAAACAGAAAGAAAAGGCCGGATCTGAACCATTGGCCAACGCCGGCGAACCGGCCTGTTTTGCTGCGGGAAAGGTATCTGCTCGCACGAGCATTGAGCTGCGATGAGAACTCGCTCTTGGGCTGGAAGCTGGGCATTGTCTCACATCACTTGATGGTTCTGATTGGGTTCAGCGCGAAAGCACGGCAATCTGTGCTGCGCGTGGCATTGGAAGGCTGGCAGAATGTGTTGATCCCAGCACCGCTATTGTGCCTTCATCCGTTTCTGCAAAAGTTCCATGAGCTCCCCATTCCTGGGAATGAGTTCAGCTTTGCCTTCCTGCTTGAGATAGTAAAAGCGCCCTGGTCTCAAGCTGGCGGGTAATTCGTAATCCATCCCGTCCCATTCATCTTCGCGAAACGCGTAGAATGCCCAGTGTCCATTTCTGTCCTCCACGGCATCCAGAACATCGGTCAGATAGGATCCGCAATCCTTCCAGCGCCGCATGCAGCCGAACTCGGAAGCAACGACCCGTTTTAACGGAACGCGGTGGTGCGAGGCCCAGCTGTATGCCAAGTCGACATGGGATTTGACGGCTTGCCTGTCCCAGGCAAGATCTTGCCCGTCATAGAAGGTTTTCACGCCCGGATACCGAAGCGGTTTGTCTCGTCGCATGTTGCCGGCACTGGTCGCCGCGTAGGGTTCATACATGTGAAATGCATAAATGACCCGGTTGTCCGACAATGGAGCAGGCCACGCTGCAAGCGAACGCGGATTGGCAAACCACCCGCCGCCGACCATGATGGGCATCTTGTCGTCGACTGCGCGAATGCCTGCAATTACTTTGGTGTAAAATGCACGCAGGTCTCGCGTTCCGCCCTCCTGATCCTGTTGCCACTCCTTAAGTGTTTCCAAGGGGCTGTTTTCGCCGGGGCCCGCCAGACGTTCGGGAGCTGGCTCGTTCAGGATGTCATATGCCACGATTGCAGGATGCTGTTTCAATTCGGTAGCCAGATCCACCCAGAAATTTACGGCTTGTGATTGAAATGCGGCACTGGACCACAAACGGTCGTCGTAAACTCCTTCGTTGTGCTGCGCCCACCTTGTGCCGGGAAGGGTGACTGGAGCAAGGACGACACGAAGGCCTGCGGCGTGAGCGGTGTCTAGTTCGGCCATCAATGCCGACAGGTCTGTATCGACCAGACCCTCATAAGCGTCTGCATTTCCCAGCAGGAAATCGCGCCCGGTGCTCTGCCATTTTCCCAACATGAGCCTCACCCATGTCGCGCCGGTGCCGGCGAGGGCAGTATAGTATTCTTCCCCCTGAGGGGCTGTGTTGAATGCATTTCCGCCCTTGCGCGGGGTGTCCCAGAACGTCATGGGATCTTCGGACCGAACGGGTTGCGCCATGGTGCAAATCAGCAAAACGAACGCAAGAAACTTCACCAGATGCATTTTAGGCGTATCCGTGGTTCCAGAGAGAGAGACGTAGTTCCCGACAAGCCGAAATCTGCTTGCATGTCTTTTGTCGAATCAACCAGAAGTGGTTGGCGTTTTCGTGACGCATGTTTTCAAATCTCAAGATTGGCGATCAGGCCGGGGCAAAAAACGAATTTGGGTCAGGCATGAGAGTTTCCCTTACACTGCACCAGCCCGGGTAACATGGTTGTCAAACTCGCTAATCCCATTCACCTCCGGAAGCGTCCAGCCCTACAGGCTCGGAACACAATCATTGTCCGAGACGGCAGGGCAGCACATTTTCTTTTGGAGATGTTGTGTGAACGCGAGAAATCATGGGTCAAAACCCCGCTCGGGCATCATGCCGATTTCAGATGAAGGGAATTGATATCTTGATTGCCTATGGTCTGGCACTGCCTGACTTGTAGGAAGTCGGCGTTTGACCGGTTTCGCGTTTGAATGCTGAATAGAATGACGACCTGGAATTGAAGCCCACCTCGTAGGCGATGGCCAGGACAGTTGCCTCGCCCTTTTCAACCAGCGGCATCGCCTCCCTGATGCGCCAACTGTTCACGAATTCGAAGAATGACTGACCAAGATTCTGGTTCAAGGTTTGTGAGACATAATTGAGTGAAACACCTACATGCTGCGCCAGCATGCTCAGCGTCAGATTCGGGTCCCGATACAGGCAGTCTTCTTCCATTGCGCGCACGAGTTTTCGGGCAATGCGCTCGGACTGGGAAGAATCCAGTGCGCTTTTTTCATACTTCTTGTCTTTTGGGCTTTCGATTTCAGCCAGTATCCCGGTTGCGTTGTCCAGGTCGGGCGAGGGCCGCAAACTCCAAAGTGCAAGCGCAAAAATTACCACCAGGACCAGAAAGCCGTCGAACAATGGGCCGACGAAATCCTGCTTGCCCTGCAGGACCATGATCTGCCCAATCAGGTGCTGCAGAACATAGATGCCCAAAGCACATGCCAGGACGGATACCCATCGCAATTCCATGCCTTCGGTGCTGGCATAATACTGTTTCAAGCGCTCGAGATGCTGCGCCTGCGTGACCAAAACCCAGGCAACATATACAGCCCATTGCACTGCAAGTGCGACGGTCAGAAACATGAACCCATAGTGCAAAAAACCCAGGACGAGCGTCTCGAACTCTGACGAGCTGACTGGGTGCCGGGTGTCACGCATGACATCCAACAATAGAAAGGTGCCTATCGCAAAGACTGTAGCCGAAACAGGCGGTAAAAAATGACGGGCCATTGAGCGCCGATCACCGGAATTGCAGCGCCTGCCCGCGATTTCTCTTACATAGATAAAAAAAATCGGCCCAAGCCAGAAATTTGCCGCGAATCCAACGAACTCTGATCCGTTCCGGACGACTTTGGGTGAGGTCTGGATCAGTACGGCAACAATGGAATCGACCTCGCTTACTGCAAAGACTGCAAAGAATGCAGCCAAGGTAATACGTGACGGGTTTACCCGTCTTTGCGACCAGTTGATCAAGGCAGCCAAGGCGGCAACGGTCAACGTGGCCGATACCGTTGCGGCCAGTAGGACGTTGGTGTCGAAGGTCATCTCCAGGGTCCGCCTGCGGATGGTGTAGCGCGTTCCGCACAATGACTATCCTCAAGACCGATCCAGCTCAACGGCGATCGCGCGGGGTCATGTCCGTGCCGGACGGGAAAGACAATTTGAGGGAGCATCCGGTCGACGGCAACCTGTCTTTGTGCAAGGCCCAAACTGCGGCGCTGATCGAGGCGGGATCACCAGGTCAGGGACGCTGTCGGCAGGTTCCACTTCCAGGCTGCAAACAAGGACCAGACAAAAAACGGCAATGCAGAAAGCACAGCAAGCCGCTCCGTTTTTACGATGCGTTTCTTGCTGGGCGTGAACAGGAGCCAGAAGGTGATCAGCAGCACCGATGCAACGCCAATGCCATAAAGGATTGTCATGGCCCATAGCCCGGCACTTGGCGAAGCAAGCCTGGAAAGCTCATCCCCGTGCGTGATCTGATCCAGGATCTCCATAAATCCAAGTATGATACTGATCCACAAAACTGCCTGACACAGAGGCAGGCTCAAAATGCATCGCCGTGTCCGCCAACTCAAAACCGCACCTGCCAGACAAAGCAGCGAACCAATGACAGCTGCCCAGGAAGCTGACTCCAATGAGGTTGCTGTGTGCCAGAAATCCAGCGTGTCAAAACTGTGTATTCCGCCGTTGAGATAGGCTCCAACGATGTGGCCAACTTCGTTACGACGGAACCCCAGGCGAGTGTCACCTTCCGGGCTTTCAAAGACATCCTTGCCAATGGCCTCGAACCGGCGCGAGTGGCCAAGCCCGGAAACCATGAGTGCGTTGTTCTCCATGGCCCTGACAGTGAACGCCGTTTGATAAGGTACCAGGATGCGGTCCAGACCTGTCTCGTTTCGCCGAGTGGTGATATAGCGGCCCTCGTGAACGCGAAGGCAGACCGCATCGCAAACCGCGCGACTGGCGACAGGTCTTGCGTGTGGTGCGACAATCTCGCGAAGGAGGCGGCGCGGTAGCGCCATCAACGAACTGCCGCTCGGGCCGTTGGCCGCGACAAAGATCCCGATGTCAAGCGCAGGAACAAGCGTCATGTTGGTATGAAAGCCGAAATGGGTGCCGCCGTGATGATAGACCTGTTGCCCAGCCCAGATTTCCGTCCAGTACCCGAGAGTGCGCCCCGCAAATGCCGGCCGGCCGGGCCAGGCGGATCGTTTCAGGTCCGCAACCAAGCTGGCAGTCGGCGCAGCCCCTGCGTGTGCAGAACCGGTATGCAGCAGCAACTGCATGACGCGCACCATGTCGCGCCCGGTCAGAGCAAGCCCACCGGACGGCGTGTGGATGGCCGGGAACGGTTCCGGTTCGATGGCTTTATGGCGACCGACTTGCCAGATATGAAACGGGCTGATGCTGCCTGAACTATGTTGGTCATGCATGAAATGAGGGCCATCAACTCCCATCGGGGCCAGGATCGCCTCTGCAAGATAGGTCTCGAACGGTTGACCCGAAACCCGCGCCACGATCTCGCCAAGCAGAACATAGCTTGCGTTCGAATAGGAAATCACATCTTCCGGTGGGCGAACCTGTGCGGGTAACACCGCCGAAATATGGTCGAGCCTGGACGCATCTGCGCCATTGCCATGATCTGCAAAATAGCCACGATAGCGATCTTCCAGTCCGGCCGTGTGGCTCAACAGATGGATTATGCGAATGTCCCCGAACGGTTGGTGCAACTTCAAGTCCGGCAGATACTTTGCAATCGGATCGTCGAGCGCGAGCCGACCGTCCCTTGCGAGCTGAAGGACTGCAAGCGCTGTAAAAACCTTCGTAACGGATGCCAGCGGTACGACGTCACCTTCGGGTGTCATCAACCTCCCGGTTCTCGCGTCCGCCAACCTGTAGCCTTTTGAAAGGATAACGTCGTTGCCGGATACAATGACCACAACAGCGCCAGCCACGGCATCCTGATCCAGACCGGTCGTTACCAGCCCGTCCACGAATCCCTCCAGAACCCGGTGCCAGGATGGGTTTGGCTCTGCCTCGACAGAGGGGACAAGAAGGCACAATGCGATGCCAAGGGATAAAACAACCTTTGTAAAATCGAATGCGCGCTGACCTTGGACGCAGATCAAATCGATGGATGTCTTGAGCATTGTCGGGTCGGTCAGGTGAGGCTGGGGGCGGCGGTCAAATTGCCGGCACAGATACGGTGAAGAATCCTTCACGCGTCGTCCTGCTGTATGGGCAGAGACAGTGTTTTTGCTGCAGGGATGCGCGCTTTTGCGATGTGTCGGCTGTTTCCCCAGATGATTGTCTGTTGAGGACGCCTGCCAGCGGCTGACAACTTCCGGAATTGCGGAAAAATGCTGGTTTAACCGTGTTGTTTGTAAACAGCATGTCTGGACACGAACGTCGGTCAGGCTGCGAAGCTGGGACGACGGAACGGTGTGCACGCTCAAGATCGGATGAACCAAACAAGCCCTGGTGGACAGCGCTGGTCTTAACCCTGTGAACTGGTCCGAGCAGCTTCAGAAGCTTGAACGTTCTGGACGACTTCGATCGTGAGGGTTTGGGTATTGCGGTGTGGACATCACAAGTCCAGCCCTTCGCGTTATCCGCACACTGGAACTATGGCTCTCGGGGCGCGGGATCGGGTTACAATGTTTTCAACCAGGCAAGCCGCAACAGAACGCCCGGGTTGAACGCGATCACAAAACTGTATGCCAGGATTGGATTGCTCGCCCTGCGGTTTGCCAGCGATATGGAAACGATCCCGCGCCGTGCCGCATGAGCTAGACGGCTGAATGTTGAGTTTCGGGATCCAGGGAGTGGGGCCGCTGTTTCCGGTCCAGCAACAGATCAGTGATCGACGCCGAGAGCCATATCCCGCACAGGGTAAGCCATGCTGTTACTGCGAAGAGCGAGGCTCCGGTGATGCCGGCTCCAACCGCGCATCCGCCTGCGAGCATGCCGCCAAACCCCATGAGTGCCGCACCGGTCAGGTAGCGGGCCATCGAAGGGCCGCTCTCAAAGCCCTGCAACAGCAACTCCCGGGTCAGAAGAGCTGCAAGGAACGAGCCGGCAAAAACACCGGGGACGAGGCCGGAATTGAAGTCGAGCCCACTGGTTGGCCTGGACAGGAACAGCATCAGCATGTCTGCCGACGGCCCCGTGAACGTGAGGCCCTCCACCTGGACCGGATCGAAAGCCTGGCGTGTCATGCTGGTCGTGAACCACAACGCGAGTGGAACGGCGAGCCCTGCGCCGACGGCGGCCGTTGTCTGCCAGATCGAGCTGCGGTTTCGCCAGGCAAGTAACAGCCCGGCCAAGAACCACAATGCGCCAAACAGGTAGGCGGTAATTGCGCTGATGCCAAGATGGGCCGCGAGATCGTTCCCGCCGATATCGGCCGTCGTCCACAAGCCGGACAACCAGTCACGAAACGGCATGAGGCTGCCCCGCAAACTGGCTTGAGCGACCACGGCGAACACCAATCCCGACAACAAGGCACGCAGGTTACCGGTCGCAGACAGCACCAGCAGACGGCTGGCGCATCCGCGGGCCAGAACCATGCCGGTGCCGAACATCAGGCCGCCGATCAGGGCGCCGGACAGGCTCTGAGGGGATGCAAGTTGGCGGGTCTCGCCGACGTCGATTCCACCCAGATGAGAAAGAAGCTGAGTGGTTATCAGCGCGCTTGAAAAGGCAAGGAGCCAGATGGGAAGGCGGTCTGAAGGTTTCCGTCTGGAAAATTCCAGGGCCGCCGCACGCAGGCAAAAACGGCTTTGCTGTGCGAGGGCGCCGAACAGGATACCGACCAGCAGACCTGCGAGCACGAGCACCGTGGGTTCCGACATTCTCTCGAGAATGTATGTCAGGTCCATGAGATACCCCGGCATTGCGGTTGGCAGCGGTCTGCAGCAGCAGGTTCATCTGATTTTGGCAGTGCCGATGCGGTCCGCATTGACCGATCTCAAGGATACATAGAAAAAATCAAAACCATGAATGTGTGTCATTGGAAGTAGCTGCGGTCGTTCGGCAATTGATTTGCGTTGGCCTACACCCGCAAGGTAACGGGTCCTCCGTAGAAGGTCCGCTCTCAATCGCATGGCCTAAACGGCAGGAGAAACTACTCCGCCGGCACAAACCCGGTGATGAGTTGCCGCAGGCCCAGAGCGGCTCCTGCGAATATCGCGAGGAACGTCACGGGCGCGCTATAGGCCAGAACCGAAAACGCGGAGATTCCTTGGCCGACACTGCAGCCGACGGCCAGAATGGCGCCTGGTCCCATGATCGCGGCACCGACAATCTGGCGACGCAATTCGCGCGGGTCTTCACACGCTTCCCAACGGAAATGCCCCTTGGAGAAAGATCCGAGACACGCCCCGATGACAACGCCAACGACCGATCCGACACTGAATGACAACATGTTCCCGGAAGCGGTCATGCCGTAGTAAATCGTGTCGCCGATCGGTGCTGCGAAGGAATGGGTTTCGATTGGTTCGGCTTCAAACCCGGTCATGGCAACCCAGTACGTTCCAACCCAGCCCGACACGATGGCCAGCCCAACGATGCTCCCCCAGAAGATGTGCACCGGTGATTTGCGGAATGTGGAGTTGCAAAGTGCGACAACGATAATCAGGCCACCGACAACCAGTCCTGTCACGGCGGGGTCTACACCGTGACTGGCGTCCAGGTATTGGCTCAGCCCTTGAGGCGATTGCGCACCGGTTTCAACCGGAAACAGCCAGACACGGACATGAGCAAGCGGGCCAGACATCACGAAATAGGCCGAGAGCCCCATGACAATGACAATAAGGAAGGATCTGAGGTCTCCTCCGCCCAGGCGGGCGAGCGCGCCATAACCGCAATTTCCGCTGAGCGCCATGCCGTAGCCAAACATCAGCCCGCCGACAATCGAACCAGCGGGATTCCAGACCCTGTCGAGATAGGCTGTGCTGGCGCCATCCAGCAGGTTTGATGACATTGCGAGATGGCAACCGATGATCGCGACGCCGATCGCAAGAGCCCACATGCGCAGCCGCCGGTCGTCTGCACCGTAAAGATAGTCCTCGATGGCTCCCAATGTGCAGAACCGCCCGATGCGGGCCGCCAGTCCAAGCACAACTCCACCGCCGAGACCTATGAGGGTAGCGGTGTTCGCTTCTCCAAGCTGTTCCAGCATATCCGGCTCCTCCCCGAACCGGACGCTAAAACAGCGTTCGGTCAGTCCTCTCGACAGAACAGGTCATAGACCACTTCCATGATTTGCTTGGGGCGATCGTCAGCCAGGCTGTAGTAAATCGCCTTGCCGTCGCGTCGCGGCGTGACGAGCCCTTCCAGACGCAATCGTGTGAGTTGTTGTGAAACGGCAGCCTGTCTTGCGGAGAGCAGATTTTCCAGTTCCGCCACGGACTTCTCGCCCGAGGCGAGGTGGCACAGGATCATCAGGCGCCCTTCGTGACTGATCGCCTTCAGGAAATTGGAAGCACGCTGAGCATTCTTCATCATCCGGTCCATATCCTCAGCACACATGTCTGCGTCAAAAACCGGCAGCCGCGAAGGCGCCTCGGTCGGACCATCGGATTTGGTTGTGGCATCAATTGTCATGTCTGTTCAACCTGTCTGGTCCACGGTGATTTTTGCACGTTCGAACATAATACCAAGCAAGCCCCAAAAGAAATCTTCGCCGGGATAGCCTTCGATTCGTCCCACTTCCACACCATTTTGCACGAGTATGAACGTGGGTGTGAAGTGGATCGATTTTTCAAACGCCACATCCGGTGTCTTGCCGTGCAGCTTGAAGCGTCTCAGCGGCGCGGTCTTGCCCTCGGCTGTTTTTGGATAGATGTGCGCGATTTCTTCGTCCCACTTGCCACACCAGTAACAGCCTTCTTCCTCGGCCATGAGCAGATAGGTGTCGGCACCGGCCGCAACCGGTGTCAGGGCCAGAAGCAATACCATCAGCGTCTTCAGTAATTTCAAAACGCGACTCCGATTGACGAACTCATAAACTTAATCATAATCTAATTTGTGAATATATCAAGGTGAGAAGCAGAATCATACATGTTCGAACTAACTTTTCTGGGAGTTTTTGCAGCTGGACTTTTGTCGTTCCTGTCGCCTTGCATCCTGCCGATTGTCCCGTTCTATCTCAGCTACCTCGCCGGTGTCGGAGTGAACCAGGTCGGGGCCGGCGGCGAAGTGACGGGAGCGGTGCGCGTCCGCGCTTTCCTGGCGGCCTGCTTCTTTGCCCTGGGGGTCATCACCGTCTTTGTCGGGCTGGGAGCGACCGCCACAACCTTTGGCCAGATGGTACGCGACTATTTCGACGTGCTTCGCTGGTTTGCGGCAGCCATCATCATCGCGATGGGATTGCACTTCCTAGGTGTCATCCGCATAGGCATTCTCTACCGACAACTCAGGGCCGATACCGGTGAGCGTTCGAACACCGGCCTTTTCGGCGCCTATGTGGTGGGATTGGCATTTGCATTCGGCTGGACACCTTGTGTCGGCCCTGTGCTCGCCGCCATCCTGTTTACCGCCGCAGGGCAGGAAACAGCCGGACAAGGCGCCGGGCTGCTTCTTGTTTACGGCCTGGGTATGACACTTCCCTTTGTCGCAGCCGCCCTGTTCATCGGACCGTTCATGTCGGCGATGGCCAGGTTTCGCAGGTACCTGGGCATAGTCGAAAAGCTCATGGGCGTTCTGCTGATCCTGTTCGGGGTTCTGATCGCCACAAATTCAATCAACATCATCGCTCAATGGATGCTGGAAAATGTGCCTTGGTTCGGCGCCATTGGATAATTCAGGGAGAAATCGCATGGTAAGACTGTTCGCTTTTGTCACCGCTCTTCTTTTTTCCATCCAGATTCACGCCGCCGATATAGGCGATGACGGCCTCCACAAGACCTCCTGGATGCGCGATACATTCAAGGACCTTTCAGAGGATCTTGAAGAGGCAAACTCGGAAGGCAAGCGTCTGATGGTCATCATCGAGCAGCGGGGATGTATCTATTGCAAGAAGATGCATGAGGAAGTTTTCGTCGTCCCCGAAATCAGGAAATTTATCGAGGACAACTACTTCGTCATCCAGATAAACATGTTTGGTGATGTCGAGGTGACCGATTTTGATGGCACGACGCTGCCTGAAAAGGAGATGGTGAAACGCTGGGGGGCACTGTTCACGCCCAGTATCTATTTTTTCCCACAAGAGGTGCCGGAAGGGCTCATGGCGAGCCAGGTTGCAGTTGCCAACATGCCGGGTGCATTCGGGCGGTGGACAACCTTCAATATGCTGAATTGGGTTGTCGAGAAAGGTTACAGCAGCGATGAACCTTTCCAGAAGTATCATGCGCGAAAATTCGAAAGTCAGAAAAATTGAGAGAATCTGGGCGTATTGAGACACTTTCTTGTGAAAATTGCTGCAGATGCGAACAGATACAAAAATTCATTTAATTGAATTTGTTATTGCGTTAAAAGGAATGTGTGATGTACGCTTCCTTCCAAGGTCGACAAGAATCGTATCAAGGGAGGGGGCATGAAACGCGCAATTGGACTGGCTGCGATCGCGGCCATGACAGTATCTGCGGCACTCGCGGAAACAGTGGCGCCGACAAACGTCACTTTGGCGGACGGAGTTATCGAAGCGTCGCTGACCGGGCAACCCGGCGACCCCGTCGAAGGCAGAAAGGTCTTTGCGAACCGCAAGCAGGGCAACTGCCTTGCCTGCCATGTGAACTCGGACCTGTCGGAAGAGATCTTTCACGGAGAGGTTGGCCCGCCGATTGATGGTGTTGCCGATCGCTGGAGCGCAGGCGAACTGCGTGCGATCGTGACGAACTCCAAGATGGTCTTTGAGGGCACGATCATGCCGGCGTTCTACATCGACAGCGGTTACGAGCGTCCTCTCGAAGACTTTGCAGGAAAGAGCATCTTGTCTGCTCAGCAAGTGGAAGATGTGGTGGCGTATCTGATGACGCTCAAGGAAGAGTAAGAATCCCTATTGGAGCACGACATGGAACTGACAAGGCGAAAAATCCTGGCGGTAGGTTCTGGAGCGCTGGTTTTTACCAGTTTGTCCGGACTGCCGGCATTCGCAAATCTCGCAGACGATGCGATTGCGTCGCTTACGGGTGGCAAGGAAATCGGAGAAGGTGCGATTTCATTGACCGCGCCGGAAATCGCTGAAAACGGCAACACCGTTCCGATTTCCGTAGATGCTCCGGGCGCTGTTTCGGTGACGTTGTTTGCGGACGGCAATCCGGTTCCGAGCGTCGCAACGTTCAAGTTCGGACCTTTGAGCGCCTCGCGCAGCGCTTCGACGAGAATTCGATTGGCGTCGACGCAAAATGTCATCGCAATCGCGCAAATGGAAGACGGGTCGTTTCAAAAGGCCTCTTCCAACGTGAAGGTAACAATCGGTGGCTGCGGCGGCTGAGTGACGAGACGAGGAGTTAGAACATGGCATCCGGTGTAAAACCCCGTGTCAAAGTCCCCAAAAAGGCATCTGCTGGCGAAACGATCACGATCAAGACCTTGATCAGCCACAAGATGGAAAGCGGACAGCGCAAAGATGACGACGGAAATGTCATTCCGCGTTCCATTATCAATCGCTTCACCGCAGATTTTAACGGTCAAAACGTCATTGACGTGACCCTGGAGCCCGCGATTTCGACCAATCCGTACTTCCAGTTCGACGCTGTGGTGCCAGAGTCGGGCGAGTTCAAGTTCACCTGGTACGATGATGACGGTTCAGTCTACGAAACAGCCAAGAAGATCAAGGTCTCCTGACAGTGAGAATTGATCTAACGAGGGAGGGGGAGCATGAACCTGAAGCTATGGATATCCCTGGCGGTGGGCAGTCTGTCGACAGCTGCCATCGCACAGGACAGCAACGAACTGGTGATTGACGGCGAAACGCTTGTCACCGAAACCGCTGCTCCGGCGCATCTGGAAGATTTCGATACGATCTATTCAGGATGGCGGTTTCGCTCGCGCGAAACACAGGCTTTGGAAACAGACGACTTTGACAATCCGGCCTTTGTTTTCGTTGATCAGGGCCTGGATCTTTGGGAAGAGGTCGATGGTTCTGCCGGCAAGGCGTGTGCCTCGTGCCATGAAGACGTGGAGGACTTCGCGGGTCTTCGTACGCAGTTGCCACGAGTTCAGGACGGTGAACTTGTTGCGATGGAAGACCTTGTGAACGGCTGCCGCACGGAACGAATGGGTGCCGAGCCGTGGAAATGGTCGGGTGGCAACATGACTGCAATGACCGCGTTGATCGGCTTGCAATCCCGGGGCATGCCCGTCGGTGTCAAGATCGACGGTGAAGCGGCGCCATTCTGGGAAAAGGGCAAGGAACTTTATTACACCAGGGTCGGTCAGCTGGACATGGCCTGTTCCAACTGCCACGAGAACAATTATGGTGTGATGATCCGGGCCGATCACCTGTCCCAGGGTCAAATCAACGGGTTTCCGACCTACCGGTTGAAAAATGCCAAGCTGAATTCCATCCATGCTCGCTTCAAGGGGTGCATGAAGAACATTCGCGCCGAGCCTTTCAAGGAAGGTGGCGACGAGTTCAAGGCTTTGGAGCTCTACCTTGCGTCGCGCGGACAGGGTCTTTCGGTGGAAACGCCGTCCGTACGAAACTGAGATTTGAGAAGCCCGTCGCCGTCTGGCGTTGGGCTTTTCATTTCTTATAATTATTCAAATATATGAATATTTAACAAGGAGCTGACAGGAATATGATATCGCGGCGCGATTTTCTACAGGTCGGCATGGCCGCCTCGGCAATCGTCGGAGGATCCGGCTTTGGCAACTGGGCTCGTCTGGCGGCGCAGCAGTCGCTGTCACAGGATCAGCTTCTCGAATTCGAAACATTTGGAAACGTGTCCCTCATTCATGTCACCGACATCCATGCCCAACTGAAACCGGTCTATTTTCGGGAACCTTCGGAAAACATAGGTGTTGGCAGCAACAAGGGCGCCGTCCCGCACGTAACTGGCGCAAGGTTTCGCAGCCTTTATGGGATCGAGGATGGCAGCCCGAGCCATTATGCCCTGAGTTCCGGCGATTTCGCCTCTTTGGCAAAAGGCTATGGGCGTGTCGGTGGACTGGATCGCGTGGCCACTGTCATCAAGGCCATTCGTGCGGACCGGCCGGATGCCATCCTGCTGGATGGAGGCGATACATGGCATGGGTCCTATACCTGCTACAAGACGGCGGGCCAGGACATGGTCAATGTCATGAACGCCTTGAACCCGGACGCGATGACATTTCACTGGGAGTTCACACTCGGCAGCGATCGGGTGACCGAGATCGTCGAAAACCTTCCCTTTGCCGCGCTTGGCCAGAACATATTCGATGTGGAATGGGACGAGCCGACGGAGCTTTTCCCGCCTTACAAGATGTTCGAGCGCGGCGGCACGAAGGTTGCGGTGATCGGGCAGGCATTCCCTTACATGCCGATTGCAAACCCTGGCTGGATGTTTCCGGAATTCGCGTTCGGAATTCGGGACGAGAACATGCAGGCCATGGTGGACGAAGTTCGCGCTGATGGTGCGGAATGTGTTGTCGTCCTGAGCCACAACGGCTTCGATGTCGACAAGAAAATGGCAACGGTTGTCGATGGCATCGACGTCATACTTTCAGGCCATACCCATGATGCGCTTCCCGAACCCGTCCTTTCCGGGAAGACGATCATCGTGCCGTCCGGGTCCAACGGAAAATTCGTCAGCCGGGTTGATCTGGACATCCGGAACGGTCAGCTGATGGGATATCGGCACAAGCTCATTCCCGTGTTTGCGGACGTCATTGAGCGGGATGCCGAAGTATCTGCCCTGATCGATGAGCAAAGAGCCCCTTATCTAAAGGACATGTCGGAGGTCATCGGCAAGACCGAAAGCCTTCTGTACCGGCGCGGCAACTTCAACGGCACCTGGGATGACCTCATCTGCGATGCGTTGATTTCCGAACGCGATGCGGAAATCGCGCTCAGTCCCGGTGTGCGCTGGGGGCCGTCACTGATCCCGGGTCAGGACATCACGCGCGAAGACATTTTCAATGTGACGTCGATGACCTATGGCAAGGCATATCGTACTGAAATGACCGGCGAATTTCTAAAGATCGTGTTGGAAGACGTGGCGGACAACATCTTCAATCCCGATCCCTACTACCAGCAGGGCGGCGACATGGTTCGAACCGGTGGGCTTGGATACAGGATCGACGTCAACAAGCCTCAAGGCGACAGGGTTTCGAATATGACGCTGCTGCAAAGTGGCGAGGCCATAGACCCGGCGAGATCCTACGTTGTTGCCGGCTGGGCCAGTGTGAACGAAGACACCGAGGGTCCGCAGATCTGGGACGTTGTCGAGAACCATGTTCGAAACCTCGGCATCGTGACGGCGCGGGAAAACAACAGTGTTGAAGTGGTTGGTGCTTAGCCGGAACAGGGAGGCCCGAAGAATGGACAGCAAAATGAAAACGTCCCGCCGGACGTTCCTGAAAGGCAGTGTCGCTCTGGCAGGCGGGTCAGTTGCAGGGGCAGCCGTTGCAAACGAGGCCGATCCCCTGATCACCGAAGTCCAGGAGTGGGCGTCCGCGACAGGTGTCGGCGTGGATGAAACGCCTTACGGAATGCCGATCAGCTTCGAAAAAGACGTGGTTCGCCGAAACGTCGAATGGCTGACGGCATCGCCGATTTCCTCGATCAATTTCACGCCGATTCATGCCCTCGACGGTACCATCACACCGCAAGGCTGCGCTTTCGAGCGTCATCATTCGGGCGCGATTGAGCTGCGCAAGGAAGATTTCCGCCTGATGGTCAATGGTCTGGTCGATTCGCCATTGGTGTTCAGCTACCAGGATCTGGAGCGCTTCCCGAGAGAAAACCACGTCTACTTCTGTGAGTGCGCTGCCAACACCGGCATGGAGTGGGCCGGCGCGCAGTTGAACGGTGCACAATTCACCCACGGCATGATCCACAACATGGAGTACACCGGGGTACCTCTCCGAACCTTGCTGAACGAGGCGGGACTGGGGGCAGCCGGCGACCTGACAGGCAAATGGGTCTATGTCGAAGGTGCCGATGCATCTTCCAATGGCCGGTCAATCCCGATGGAAAAGGCATTGGATGATGTTCTGGTCGCTTTCAAGGCAAACGGCGAGGCGCTGCGCATGGAGCACGGCTATCCGGTCCGCCTGGTTGTGCCGGGCTGGGAAGGAAACATGTGGGTCAAGTGGCTCCGACGCATCGAGGTAACCGATGCAGCGGTCGAAAGCCGGGAAGAAACCTCCAAATATACCGATGTTTACGAGGACGGGACCGCACGAAAGTGGACCTGGGTCATGGATGCTAAGTCCGTCATAACGTCCCCCAGTCCGCAGATGCCGGTCAGCCATGCACCCGGTCCCATGGTCATTTCGGGTCTGGCCTGGTCTGGTCACGGCAAGATCACACGGGTGGATGTGTCCAAGGATGGCGGTATTACCTGGCAAAAGGCGCGTCTGGGAAAACAGGGTGATTCCAAGGCACTGACGCGCTTCTACCTCGATGGCGATTGGGACGGCAAAGCGATGCTTCTGCAGTCCCGTGCCATGGACGAAACGGGATACGTTCAGCCGACCAAGCAGCAGCTCAGGGATTCGCGTGGCGAAAACTCGGTCTATCACAACAACTGCATCCAGACCTGGTACGTGGATGAAAATGGGGTCGTAGAGAATGTCGAAGTCTCTTAGCCAGATCGTTCTTCCGGTTGCTGGCGGCACCGCACTGGCATTGTCGCTTGCGCTCGTTGTCGCGAACCTGGATTACGGGCAGAACAAGATTTCTTCGCTGGAGGGGCGCTTGGAACAAGCGTCGATGCGGGCTGATGAGGCCGCCGGAAAGGCACGTGAAGAAGCAGCCGTCACCGCTGAACTGGAAGCAAAAATTGCCGAAATTCAAGCTGATGCAAAGGTTCGTGCTGCAAGAAATCCAGGCCTGACGGAAAATGCTCCGAATAGGGAAAGCGGATACGGTCTGGGCCGCAAGGCACGCACCGAGGAAATCGCGGCCTGGGACATTGACGTACTCCCTGACGGCCGCGGTCTTCCGCAGGGGCGCGGCGATGTATTTACCGGAGAAGAAGTCTTCGCCGAAAAATGTGCCTCATGTCATGGCGACTTCGCTGAAGGGGTCGACAACTGGCCGGTTCTCGCCGGTGGATTTGATACACTGGCGGACAAGGACCCGGTGAAGACCGTTGGATCTTACTGGCCACATCTGTCCACTGTCTGGGACTATGTCCATCGTTCGATGCCGTTTGGCGAAGCGCAGACACTTACGCCGGATGAGACTTACGCGATTGTTGCCTACATTCTCTACTCCAATGATCTGGTGGATGATGAATTTGAGCTAAGTCACGAAAATTTCTCAAGTTTTGAAATGTACAACAAGGGCGGTTTCCTGATCGACGACCGTCCCGAGCGTGAATATGCAAGGTGGAGCAGCGAACCTTGCATGGAGAACTGCAAGCCTTCTGTCGAAATCACGATGCGGGCGACATTTCTGGACGTGACACCTGAAAACGGTGGTGAATCCGTCATGAACGATGCCAAAGCGGACGACACGCCGACATTTGTGGCGAAGGCCGCATCTTCGGACACCACCGGTGGCGACGCGGAAGCCGCGGCGTCATCTCCGGCCGTTGATCCCGCACTATTGGCGTCGGGCGAAAAGGTATTCAAGAAATGCAAGGCCTGCCATGCGGTCGGAGAAGGCGCGAAAAACAAGTCCGGTCCACAACTGAATGGCTTGATTGGCCGTCCGATGGGCGCTGTCGAAGGGTTCAAATATTCCAAGGTGTTTGTGGCGGCGCATGGCGAGGGCCGGATCTGGGATGAAACCGCACTGACTGAATTCCTTGCCAAACCGAAATCCTACATGAAAGGCACAAAAATGTCCTTCTCCGGCCTGAAAAAGGAAGAGGATCTGGCCGCCATCAAGGCTTACCTCAAGTCTTTCGGAGAGTGAGGGAGAATGAGTTTCCCTCGGTTCCTCCTCACAGTTGCGCTTGCAGTATCTTGCACGGCCGCCTTGGCAGATAACTTCGGGGACCCTGTCGCGGGAGAAAAGGTGTTCCGAAAGTGCAAGAGTTGCCACCAACTGGGAGAGGGGGCAAAACACCGTATTGGCCCTCATTTGAATGGCATCTTCGGGCGGCGGGTCGCCAGTCATGAGGATTTTCGATACTCACGCGCACTTGTGCGGGCCGGAACGGGAGGGCTCGAGTGGCATGCTGATACCCTGGACACCTTTCTGGAAAAACCACGGGCCATCGCGAGCGGAACGCGCATGAGTTTCGCCGGTCTCAAAAAGACTGAAGACCGGCTGAACCTTATTGCTTACCTGCGAACCTTCTCAGATGACCCGGCCAACATTCCGGAGGCTGACCCGACAGCGACTGCGACGGATCACAACCTGGATCCGGCGATACTCGCGTTGAAGGGTGATCCTGAATACGGGGAATATCTGAGCAACGAATGCACGACCTGTCATCAGGCCGATGGAGGAGACGACGGGATTCCGTCCATTGTTCTTTGGCCGGAAGAAGACTTCGTTCTCGCGATGTACGCATACAAGAACAAGAAACGTGCACATCCGGTCATGCAGATGATGGCCGGACGACTGAACGCGGAAGAGATCGCCGCTCTTGCAGCATATTTCGCCGCGCTGGAACAATGACAGTGCATTTATGGAGGAGAAAATGACACTGAATAGAAGGCAATTTATCGGCACCACGGCCACGATGGCCGCAGTCCTGTCGGCCCCCATGGTAAGGGCGCAAGGCAAGCCGCGCGTTGTGGTGGTTGGCGGCGGTGCCGGCGGTGCCACAGCAGCACGCTACATCGCCAAGGGCAGCAAGGGCGCAATCGACGTCACGTTGATTGAGCCGACACGCAAGTACTACACATGCTTTTTCTCCAATCTTTATCTGGGTGGTTTCAAGGAAATCGAGGACATTGGCCACACCTATGGCGGCCTGGCCGCGGGCGGTGTGAACGTGGTGCATGATTGGGCTGTTGGCGTGGACCGGGATGCCAGGACCGTTTCGTTGGCCGGCGGCGGTTCGCTGCCATACGACAAGCTGATCCTCAGTCCGGGCATTGATTTTGTCGAAGGTGCGGTCGAAGGTTGGGGGCTCAGCGCTCAAAACGCGATGCCGCACGCCTACAAGGCAGGTTCCCAATCCGAACTGTTGAAGGCGCAACTGATGGCTATGCCGGAAGGTGGCACCTTTGCGATGGTCGCCCCCCCAAATCCGTACCGCTGCCCTCCGGGACCATACGAGCGTGTATCGATGGTGGCCCACTTTCTCAAGCAGAACAATCCGACCGCGAAGATCATCGTGGCTGATCCGAAACCAAAATTTTCCAAGATGGCACTGTTCCAGGAGGGTTGGGCGAACCACTACGAAGGCATGATCGACTGGATCGGCGATGATTTTGGCGGCGGAAATGTTTCCGTTGATCCGAATGAAATGACGGTCTCAATCGATGGCGAGGTGACCAAGGTTGACGTTTGCAATGTCATCCCGGCCATGAAGGCCGGTCGTATTGCCGAGCTTGCAGGTGTAACCGACGGCAATTGGGCACCGGTGAATGCCTCGGACATGTCAACAAAGGCGGATGCCGATATCTATGTTCTGGGTGACGCTTCCAGCCAGGGTGATATGCCCAAGTCAGGCTTTTCGGCGAACTCGCAGGCCAAGGTCTGCGCCAACGCGGTGCGGGGTGCTCTGACGGGTTCCAAGGTCTTCCCGGCAAAATTCTCCAATACATGTTGGTCCCTGATTGCGCCAGACGATGGCGTAAAGGTCGGGGCAACATACGAGGCGACGCCGGAGAAGATAGCCAAGGTCGACGGGTTTATTTCTCAGACCGGGGAAAGTTCCGACCTGCGCAAGGCGACCTACGAGGAATCTGAAGGTTGGTACACCGGCATCACCACAGACATGCTCGGATGATCTGACATCACCGCGTCCCGGATTGGATCTGGCTCAATGCACGGGGCGTGGTGGTATGCAAGGCTTGTCCAACCCAATGGAGGATCAAGGCATGAAATCGACTATTCTCGCCGCCGCGTTTGGCGTTGCACTTTGCACTGCGGCCCATGCGGAGCAGCCATTCACATATCCCTTTGATGGTTCGTTCGAAGACGCGACCTTTGCCGTTGAAAGCGCGATCGTCGGTCAGGGGCTCGTCATCGACTATGTCAGCCATGTCGGTGAGATGCTCAACCGGACCGGGGCCGATGTCGGCAGCGACAAAATGATCTTCAAGAACGCCGACATTTTCCTGTTCTGCTCGGCGTTGATATCCCGGCAAGTCATGGAAATTGATCCGATGAACATAACGCATTGCCCCTATGGAATTTTCGTCATGGAAACAGGTGATGGGGTTACGATCGGACACAAGGATTATCCGGACGGATCCATGCAGGCTGTCGAGAATCTGATGCAGCAGATTGTTGCTGAGGCAATAGGCGACTGATGAGTTACGACGGCTTCTTTCGTTCAGAACTGGAAGCCCTGCGGCAGGAGGGCAACTATCGCACATTCGCTGAGCTGGAACGGCATTGTGGCGACTTTCCCAACGCGACATGCCACAACGGTCCGGGCGATGTGACCATATGGTGTTCCAACGACTACCTGGGCATGGGGCAGAATGCGAAGGTGTTGACTGCCATGCACGAAGCGCTTGATCGGTGTGGCGCTGGGGCGGGAGGCACGCGCAATATCTCGGGCAATACCCATGACCATGCGATGCTGGAGGCTGAGCTTGCCGATCTTCATGGCAAGGAGGCGGCGCTGCTCTTTACCTCCGGCTATGTGGCCAATTGGGCCGCGCTGGGCACGCTCGCGTCGCGCATCCCGGACTGCGTTGTGCTGTCGGACGCCTTGAACCACGCTTCAATGATCGAAGGCATCCGGCACAGCCGTGCCCAAAAGATAATCTGGAAACACAACGATCTGGACGATCTGGAAGCCAGGCTTGCTGAATTGCCCACCGGCCAACCGAAGCTGATTGCGTTCGAGAGTGTCTATTCCATGGATGGTGACATTGCGCCGATCGCGGAGATTTGCGAACTGGCCGACCGGTATGGTGCCATGACTTATCTTGATGAAGTTCACGCCGTTGGCCTTTATGGATCACGCGGCGCAGGTATTGCCGAACGCGACGGTGTGATGGACCGGGTGACGGTGATTGAAGGCACGCTCGGCAAGGCGTTTGGTGTGGTCGGCGGATACATCGCCGGCTCCCGCGAAATGTGCGATTTCGTGCGTTCCTTTGCCAGTGGTTTCATCTTTACAACTGCCCTGCCACCCTCTGTGGCCGCTGGTGCTGCAGCATCCATCAGGCACCTGAAGGCCAGCAACGCAGAGCGTCGCCGGCAACAGGCCAACGTGGCGGAGGTGAGATAGCGCCTCGACGCCATGGGCTTGCCTCATCTCGACAACCCAAGTCATATCATTCCGGTGATGGTCGGCGATCCGGTGAAGTGCAAATTCATTTCAGACGTTCTTCTGAAGGATTTCGGCATCTACATTCAGCCGATCAACTATCCGACCGTTGCAAAAGGAACCGAGCGACTGCGCATTACGCCGTCACCGGTGCATTCGAAGGCGGATATCGATCACCTGGTCCATGCACTGGAAACGCTGTGGACCAGATGCGAATTGGCACGCAGGCCCGTCGCAGCCTAGGCTACGCCTTCAGGCACAGGCTATTCGAACTCCATTTGCTCATAGACGCGTCCAGCGTTTTTTGTCGCAAGTTCCTCGAAAGTATCGAGATGCGCGTAAGGGGACTGGTCCACGTAGTAGGCATCCGCGAGATCTCCGCCATTTTCAAGATGCTCTCCGATCTTGCCACGCAGATAGGTCAGATACCCGTGGGTATAGCGGCGCACCTGAGCCATGTTGGTTGGATGCCCGTGGCCGGGAATGACATAGGTCGCGTTCAACGCTTCGAAGCCGGTCTCCCAGGTGTCGAGCCAGTCCGAGACGATCGTGTCTTCAAAAATCGGCAACATGCGTTCGTGAAACGCCATGTCACCGGCAATCACCAGACCTTGTTCGGGCAGCCACACTTGTGTGTCACCCGGTCCGTGAGCCGGCCCGAGATGAAGTACCTCGACATGGAAGTCCCCCATCTCGATAACACGTTTGTCCTCGAACGTATCCGTGGGTGGGGCCACGAATGTGCCTTCGGCCTTGTCGCCGTTGTAACGTTTCATGGTTTCAAGGATCTGGTTGCCGCGCTCATCAATCTCGTGAGCGGCATCGGCATGCGCAAGGATAGGAACGCCCTGTTCTGCCCAGTAGGAGTTGCCGAGCATTGCGTGGCCCTGGCCATTCTCGTCGATGACAAGCTTTACCGGTTGGTCCGTGACTTTCCTGATTTCCTCGTGAAGGGCCTTGGCGAGGATGTGAGCCGCACCGCCATTGACAACGATCACGCCGTCGCCGGTTACAATGAAGCTCAGATTGTTGTTGTGGCCCGAGTTTTCGTAGGTCGGTGGCGCAGTGGCACCAATGGCAGACCAAACATTCGGTATCACTTCGACCGGCTTGGAATAGAGCGCCGAAGCAGGATACTGATCGGCAATATCTTCACTGGCATGAGCCGCAGCGGCGAGGCATGCCGAAACAAGTAATCCAATGACACGCATCATGAGTTCTCCGGAACAAAACGGTAGCCTTCGGAATTTCTTTCCACGTGTCCGACCCCGCCACCGGGCAGGTGAAAGCCCGCTATCTTCAGGTTGTCGGCGACGATACGGTCGAACAGCGCGGTTCGCGTGGACGCGGCCGTCTGTGCATCCTGGTCCGAACCGCTAAGCCATTCAGGTCTCATAAACGCAACATGATGGTTTGTGATTGCGTCGCCGATGATCATGGCGGCGTCGGATCCACCACGAACCTCGAAGCTCATATGCCCGGGAGTGTGTCCGGGTGTTGCAACGGCTTGAATACCGGAGAGTATCTCCTGGCCGCCATCGAAAAACTCGACGGTGTCTTCAATCGCTTCCAGCCGCCGTTTGGCCCCGACGGCCATCGCAGCACGCGCCTCGCCAATCGTGTTCACCGTTTCCGGGTTCCACCAATAGTCCCATTCCGCTCTGCCGATCATGTAGGTCGCATCGTAGAATAGCGGGTCGTCGAATTCGTCCAAAAGCCCCCAGATGTGATCCGGATGCGCGTGTGTGAAAACCACGTGGGTGACGTCTTCAGGCGCGATTCCAGCCAACTCCAGACCATCCGGCAACTTGCCCGCGGATGACTGGAAATCGGGGCCGGAACCGACATCGAACAGGACGGTGTTTTGGCCGTCCTGATAGAGTGAGACGTTACACTCGGGTGTGAGTGTTTTTTCTGAAATGCCCATCTTTTCCAACAGGGGGAGAAGTTCGTCCCTCGGCATTGGGTCGAACACGAAGCTGCCCGGAAGTGTCAGATGTCCGTCGCTTATCGTTGTCAGTGTGCCGTTTCCAACTGACTGTTCAGCCACCGAAAATCCGCTTGCCTGTGCGGAAAGAGGCAAGGCAACGCAACCGGACAGGAAAGTGCGACGGGACACGGGCATGACACAACCTCATATAAAATTCTAATATTAGAATATGTATTAGATTGCGTTTCTTCGCAAGAAATTTCGCGTGCCGTTGAAGCAGGAACATGGCATCGCTGCAGACAAACAACAGCGTCGCACCTTGGCACAAGTGACGAGCACCGGTGGGGGCAGTCCGCTTCCTGAGCATCAAGGCTCAGTGTCTGTGATTTCCCGTGGTCGGGATCAGTCGAAGGGACCGTCGATCACGTGTTGCGAGGAGTAATTTGCCAGAAGTTTTTCCCGGTGCCACTCGGCCGCCATGGGTGTATTGGCATATTCGTGAAAACAGGGGGTGCCGAGCGTAAAGTGCAGCAGTTTGGCATCCTCGTTCGGTCCGAATTCATCAGGCAGCCAATTCCATTCGATCGGCAATTCACCAATCAGATCATCGCTCAGCCAGGTAAATCGGTGCAATTGCGCACCGGTTGCCTCCATCACGAAGTCCGGTGTGACTGCGCGATTTGCCGGGTGGCCGCAGTTCCACAGAACAACACTCGACCAGTTTTTCCGCGGGTAATCCTCATTCTTGGACCCAAGGTATTTTGTCGTCTCCTGACTGCTCTGATCGCCAAAAACTGGATCGTTTTTGACTGGTGTTGCCCCTGCTGGGATCCCGGCTGGGAAGGAGCGGAATAAATGAAGGCATCGAAGTTTTCGGACGCGCAGAAAGCGTTCATCGTGAAGCGCAGGGAGGAAGGTGTTCCAGTGGCTGAGATCTGCCGTGAAGCCGGGATCAGCCAGGCGACGTATTTCAATTGGCGCAAGAAGTATGCGGGTCTGATGCCTCCGGAGATGAAGCGGCTCAGAGAGCTAGAGCAAGAGAATGCTCGGCTCAAGAAGATCGTCGCGGACCTGTCTCTCGACAAGGAGATGCTCCAGGACTTCGTCAAGCGAAAGCTCTGAGGCCTGCCCGGAAAAGAACGCTGGTCGACGAGATGCGGTCGGACTGGTCGGTGTCCATTCGCCGTGCCTACGCGGTGATCCGGTTTGACCCGACGACCTACCGTTATAGATCCCGTAGGCCCGGTCAGGCCGCTTTGGAACAGCGGATCAGAGAGATTTGCCAGACGCGTGTCCGGTTCGGATACCGGCGGGTGCATGTCTTGTTGCGCCGCGAGGGCTGGATGATCAATCAGAAGAAAACGCGGCGGATTTACAACGAGTTGGGCCTGCAACTGAGGAACAAGCATCCCATGCGCCGGGTGAAGGCAAAGCTGCGCGAAGACCGGCAGGAAGCTGTCGAGCCGAACGATGTGTGGGCGATGGATTTCGTGCATGACCAACTCGCCACCGGCCGGAAGATCCGCGTTCTGACAGTGATCGACACGTATTCTCGCTATGTGCCGGCGCTTGA